CCCCCCATGCTAATGGGGTACTTTAACCTTATTGGTTCCTGTAACACATACCCTGCTTTCACTCTGGTCCTCTAAGAACCAGGAAGAAAATAACTATAAAAAACCCTTTCTTTCACCTGGGTAGCGCGACTTCTCTGGCCCCTCTCAGGGACCCATGAACATCGCCCGGGCCCCTCTCGGGGACCCGTAAACCTCTCCTGGGAGCACAGAATAAAAACTTCTCTTTAAACCCCACTTTTGTGCATCCTCTTCTCCTTACTGCGACCTTACATGTACTTTCTCCACTCAGTCTTTTCTAGCCTTCTCTTTTTCTTCTTAAATTCATCTTTTGTTATTTCCGTAAGAGATACTCATTTCTCTTTTCCTTCATAGTCTTTATTTTTCTTTAGTATTTGCTAATATCTGTGATGGTAAATGCTTAGACTCATTACATACTAGTTATTGTGTTCATTTTTCTTATTTTATATGAAATTATGTGAAAGTCTTTCACAAACTAGGAAGCATTATACAAAAAAACAAACCAAACTCATTGCTGTTGAGTCGCATCCGACTCATAGCAACCCCTCCTTGGGTTTCCCAGGCAGTATCACTGTGGAAGTAGATTGCCCAACCTTCCTTCTGAGGAGTGGCTGATGGGTTTGAACCGCCAGCCTTCTGGTTAGTAGTCAAATGCCTTAGGCATTACACCACCAGAACTCCCAGGAGCATTATACACATGTGTAAATTACTGAGATTAACAAAGGACCACTGTGCTTCCTGTCATACTTTCTGCTCCTTCCAGGCCAAAAAGGCCTCTGCAGAGGGTATGGGTGAGGGGAGGGAGCAATTTTGTAGAAAAATACTTTTGAATGCCTACTATGCAAGACAATGGAAGGAACAAAACATCTATCTATCTATGTGTATATATGGGAGCTCTGGTAGCATAGTGCCTAAGGCATTTGACTGCTAACCAGAAGTTCAAACCCACCAGTCACTCCTTGGAAAGAAGATTGGGCAATCTACTTCTGTAGTGATACCACCTCGGAAACCCAAGGAGGGGTCGCTATGAGTCAGATCTGACTTGATGGCAGTGAGTTTGGTTTTTCTGGTTTATATCTATATATGAGAGAGAGAGACTGTGTGTCACATACATCCGGCCTTGGGCTTTCAGTATAGTAAGATCAATAAAACTTGCACACAAATAACACAATACAACAATAAAATACCTTGCAAGTGGTAAACTGAGGGCTATAGAAGCTCAGAATGGAAAAGTCACTTCCTGCTGGGAGAGTAATAGTGATTACATGATGTTTTGGATTGAATTGTATCCCCCAAAAATAAGTGCCATGAAACGTAACCCCTATACTTGTGAATGTAACCCCATTTGAAAATGTTGTTGTTATGTGCCATCGAGTCAGCCCCCACTCATAGCGGCCTCTCCTTGGGTTTCCAAGGCAGTATCACTACAGAAGTAGATTGCCCATCTTCCTTCCAAGGAGTATCTGGTGGGTTTGAACCGCCAGCCTTCTGGTTAGCAGTTAAGTGCCCTAGGCATTATGCTACCAGAGCTCCTCGTCTGGAAATAGTTTCCTTTATTATGTTAGTGAGACCATATCAATGTAGGGTGTGCTTTCAGCCAATCACCTTCAAGATACAAAATGAGAAGGTTAGGTACAGAGAAGCAAGCAGAGATGAGTGAACATAAATAATGATGTCAC